AGCATATCAACAGTTATAGGATATAAAAAACTGTGCTTTTAAGTCACTGCCCATTATGAACCATGGCTGAGAACTTAAGCATGACAGATGAACTCTCAGATGTGCAGTACATGTTTCTAGCATCCACCTCTGAAAGTATTTGTGCCAGGCTTTGTTGCAAATAAGCCACTGAACAAGATGAATTACAAGGCTTGTCAATGATAATGGTTCTTATGTTCCTGAGGTTAGGAAGTAGCATTTATTGGGAAGTGAATAATGGAGCCACAACTAAAATTGGAAGAGGAATAAATACCAGCAAGCCCCATCCTATTAAGTAGCTGAAGCAGCAGCCATTCATCCTGCCATTTTGGAACTGACCCTGCCCTATTTCTTTATTTTTGCCAATTTGATACGTGTTTCCATGGGAACGGAAGCAGGACCAGCCACCAGCTGAGTCAATCTCAGCTGCTGGCTCCCAGTTCTCACGTTTTGTTCCGTTTCCTTGGAAACTGATGTCAAACGAGAAAGAGAAGTAAACCACCTTTTGCTCTTCAGTATTTACTCTTTATTTTGACCTGCTCTACATCCTCTGGGCCGACAGAAGGTTTATAGCAGAATCTAATGGCCATTCATTTTTCTCCTCTATGGAATGGCTGCCAGCAGCTGGTGGGTCCCAGCAGATGCAAGTAAGAGTTCTCAGGTTCAGCTATTGCAGGTGGGCCACCTGCTGGGAGCTCCAATGGCAGGGTTTGAAAGTAGGCTACAGATTTCAGGAGACATTTGGCTCCCGCAGTCTGTAATATTTCAAATTGGAAGGAAAGAAATTGAATTTATTTTAAAAATAGTAGGGAAAACAGACGGGCATAATGATATTTAGAGAACAAATTGACTAATAAGCTCTGACCTGTGTTAAGGCGAACGCCCCCAGAAACTACTTCAGCCAACTATATTCTTCATGTCACAATGCACGTTTGACAAAATTCGCTCTAATCCAGCTGTTAGCTGACTGAATAGCTCAACAGTACAATATAAGCAACACCCCCTAACCACATCTGTTTATGCATATATACATATGCAGACAGAGAAAAGAACGTGATGAGATTGTTTCAAAATGGCCAAGAATCTGCATAATTCCACTTCAGCACGTGAATTTGAACCAGACATCACTACCAATTCCAGACCTGTTACTCCCACATGTTTCTCATCTGTATACAAAAACACACATTTCCCCTTCTCTTTACGTAATTTTGGGCCAGAGTATTTTCCATTTCTTATACCAGCAGTGTCCTGACTGGAGAAAAGTAGTAAAGAAATAAAATCATACACATTGAAAAAAAACATGTTTAAAGAGAGCATTAAAAAACATGAAGGAGTCCTGGAAAAGCATGCTGGCAACTAATCTATGACTCAAGTAAAATTTGGTATGAAAATGATACTCACTTTACATCTGTGCAGTTGGTTCCCAACTTTTTTCTGGTTTTTGTGTTGTTTTTTTTTAATGCACAGACAGATCAATTTCACAAGAATAAATGAAGAAAACTTTTATATTCAGTGACCTCTGTTCTTAGTTAACTGGTCTATTAGGGCATAGTATCACGCTTACATTGCACATGCTTTTACCCTTCCTTTCCTTTCGCACTGAATACATAAACTCCTTCCTGAGTTTTCTTCACACCACTTCTCAGTTATGTCCACACAAAACTCACTGATCTGGTGTTACTACCCTGAGTAACTTCTAGAATTGTATATTTAGTGGAATTCACCTGTAGTCCAAATAATATCTACATAATTTCATTTCTTCAGGTACTACACTAGGAGCAGTCTCACAGAAAAGACAATCAGATACTCAAGAACAATAGTTATTCCTCCAGTCCTGCTGTACTTGCATCCACATACCGAGAATATACTCAATATGTCTGGGTACCTGCAGAGTTGTGTCTACTCAGCTAACACTGTGATTTTGTTCTGCATTGAGTGAAAAACTAAGGCTGCTCTAGCTGTTTTAAATCAGGTTTATTCTATTTTATCCAAAGAGATGAAAGGCATCCTGATTTTACCTAATCTATTTTTGGGTTTCCTCCAGCTGAACTTAAAATCAAAACCTAAAATTTCATCTTCCTCTATATCAGTAAGACTTTGCATAGCAAAAGAGATAATAATAACCTTTACGTTTGCTGCTTCAGCTGCAATCAGGAAAGACCATTTCACATTATGTTGAGCTTTGCAATGTCCCTCCAGAATTCTTCACAATCAGGCCTAATTTTTACTATCCGGAATAACTTACTGTAACCACTAAAATTCTGTCATCTCAGCATTCACTTCCTCTTCCACTGAACAACACAAGTCCCAGCACAGAGACTGGGACTTGTCCTGAAGGACTCTACAGACTATAGCCCTCCTTCCTGGAAAATGAACTTTTAGTTATTCTTTAAATCGGTTTCCTTCTTCTGAAGAATCTTGTATCCATTTGAAGGCTTCTCTCTTATTCCATGGCTATTTAATTTCCATTGGAGCCTTTGATGAAAGAAATCATTAAGTCCTTTTTGGAGACCTAGCAGGCTGTGTCAGCTTCTGTTCATATGCCTGCTGGCTTCTTCAAAGGGCTTCACTGAGTTTTTTAAATTTTTTGTTCCTTCACAAGTGCCATGTCAACTCTTCCTTAAGGTAGCATATTTAAGTCTAATTCCACTCTTGATTATAATTTTTAAAAGTTGGCCTGCTACAGACATTACCTAACAAGCTTATGGTTTCCACTCAGTCTTGGAAACATGGTAAGACATTTGAAACTTTTCCCTCTGATGTTGAAGCTAATGATTACATTCTGCTGTCAGTAGTTTGACTATTACGCCTGGGAGAATAAAATTTGTTTCCAGTGATTAATTTCTGATCAGTTTCTCTATTCCTACCAGCAACTCCTAGTCTCTCCTCAGTGAGTTCATCAGAAGGGTTCTAACACAGCAGTTTCCACAAGCTCTTCCACAAAAAGAATTTTGCTGAACAAAGCAGCAAAACAATCATTTAATCATTCTATATGGCCTTGTTTTCAGCAATTAATGCTCTTATATTCTGATCAAATATTGTCTCCAAAGATTTCCTGCCAAATTTACTGCTACTGATATTGAGAGAAATTTATTATTCATTTTTCTGCCTTTTGCAAGATTTTTTTAGCTTTTTTTTTTTTTTTTGTCTTCTACATTTAACTTACCAGACTTTATCATCCTTTCTGTTTTCCTCATTTGGATACAGCTTAGGTTTTCTGAATTATGTCTTCGTGCTTTTGTCATGCTGAGTTTCTTCTTTTTCAATTTTTACCTATGTCTGGCATGCATTTACTCTGTTTCTCCAATGTGATATTCTTAATACTCTCTAGGCCACCTGCAAAGATTCAACTCTCTGCCCTGCCCTCTAGCATCTCTTTTAAGAAGCTTGTTCAGTTTTATGTTGTTCCCCTTTCAGAAGTTGAGTAGCAGTCTACTGACTTTTTTTTTTTTTTGGCTCTTGTTGCTTCCTCAGAGCTATCAAAGCTAAGAACAATTTATTTGCAGCTACAGAAAAGCCCTTCAAATATCAACAGTTTCTGTATGCTATTCAGAAAGAAATCAAGGGTTAAATCTGTCTTTGTGGGTTCTGTGTTGAATTATTAAGCAGTAACTGCTTCTAAATGAGTTAGTCTGAGCAGCTCATTTGTCCAGCCATTTTTTGCTCTTGCAATGGTTATGGCTCCCTCTATGTATCTATTAAAAGTTGACCTTCTGGTTCGTTAGTTAGTCATATGTGTCAAACAGAACAGCTACACACTTGAAATGCATAGGAATTCTGCCTTAATCAATGAAATTAGTAATTTGTTGGAACAAAAAATGTGAACAAGGCTATTGAGAAACTGCTATTTTTTCAAGCTCTACAAACACAGGGAAGAAGTATCTCCATAAATTCCAAATATTTTCCATTTTTTATTGGCAACTGTAATAACTGCAGTCTCTTCAAAAGAAATTTAAAACCCTAGGGAACAACTGGAAGATATCTTCTCAGACTCTAAAACTACTATTTTAAAGGAACGCCTTGCAGTTTAGGAGGCATCATTCTAAGATATCCTCTACAAATTATATTTAAATAAACAGTAAAATCTTCCCCTAATAAAATTCCTGAGCTACATTGCAAAGTAAGAACAAAGTAAAAACAATGGGACAAAATTCCGTATATTTTCTTACAAAAGTTAACATCAAAAGAGAAAACCACCATTCTTTTTCTTACTACTTTTCAAACATTGGAGAATAGAATGACACTTTTAGGGTGTCCTAATATAATCTAGTTTTCAGATATCACCAGTTTTCATGCTGGAGCTAATAAACTCTCAAACACTGCTTATCTGCATACAGGTAGATTTTTTCTTTCCTAGTTCTGCATTGTTGCTGCCATGTTTCATACTCTCAGTTTGTCCAGAAAGATCTACTGCAGCCCTACAAGAACGCTGAACAATTTGTTCAATGAGCATTAAGATACTACCTCCCCCCTGCCAAAATCTCTAGCATGACCCTTCTGAGAATGACATTAAAATAGGAACAATCACTACGTGTGTATGCACATGCTGTTACTGAAAATAAATATAGCGATAGGTAACATAATTCATTAACATCTCTGCAAAGAATGCAGTCTCAGCAGTGACCTCTCCTGCGCTTATCTTGAATAAGCTCTTACTGAAATCTACTAATGGGTTCTGATAATCTATTATTTATTGCAACAGACTCTGATAGAGAATCTTAGCAGAGGATTCTCCTGTGTTTACACTTTCACCTAAAATCTCTCACTAGTGACAGAAACGTGGCACCTTCAACTACAGATACTATTTCTTTTGGCTGCAGTTATTTAATTTCTATTTGCTTTTCAAAATCAGAACTTTGTTCCCTCCAGATACACAGCTTGACCTGGTTTCACATAACCTAGTTCATGTTAAGCTTGGTCTTACAGAAAAGCAGTAGATACTGATATGCAATCATAAGTATTACTTGGGCTTGAGGACATACCTCCATGTTATACTTTTCCACTGTCCTTCTCAAAGGATCCACAACCTGCCAGCAAATCAAGATGCAAAGATCAATCAGTAGCATCCCTCCAACTATCACCAATAGCTTCTGGTCTTTAATGATCTGGAGAGACAAAAAATAAAAAGGGAAAAAAAAAAGAAGGGAGGAGATTCCCATGAGCCATAGATAGATCCCTGTACAGTTCTATTGCTATATAGGGAGAAAAACACAGGTTGCTAATAAGAAGTTTTTTTTTAATAATGAATGAAGAAAAATTTATGTAATGATGAAAACAAGAAGACACAAAAGTATGTTTGTTTGTTCCACGTTTATTAGAAGCATCTAAAGTACATTTTGATGTCTAAAAAGAAATTGGGAGGACTCTTAAATATTAATATTGAAGATCAGGTTTAATATTAACTCGTGGAAAATGAAAAAAATAAATTCTAGAGAGTCACTATTATGTTTCTGTATGCAAACGCAGAACTTCCATTACATCTCCCAGAGCAGCAGGAGTTAAGAAGGAACTTAGTTTTCACTAAGATGTACAGTATTCACTTTTTCATAACCTTCTTGGATATGGAAAACACACTTGCAAAGTATTAAAAGAAAAGCTCATTTCTAAGGGTTTTTGTGTGTGTATCTGTGTGTGACATTTGCCTCTGTCACTCAGGGAGCAGAAAGGGATAACGTATGTTTTCTATATTACAAAAGTTAGAGGTTTTTATGCACATACAATTTAAAACAGGTTTTTAATTTTGCATGAATTTTAGGTTAAAAAATGAAAACTAGATTTGCTAATAAAAAGACCAATCAAAACCATGTATTACATTGTTCTATGACTTCATGCAATCCCTGTATTACTTCTACTGTTATACACATAGCAACACAGAAAAAATACACTGCAAGTATATTATTTGAGTTGCAGAGTTGGAAACATGTTCAAATATAAAACTTAAATTAACTCTATGTCAGTCTACTTCTGCCTATGTTCATGTTTTTAAAATTAATACATACTTCTATTGCTAATGAACACTCATCCAATATTCAAAACACACTGCCGAATTGTTTTAAACTGAACAAAACCACATCTTTTTCCCTAGTTTTGGTTCTTAGAAACAGATAGTTTAATCCATATGAAATATTAAAAAAATATTATGCCTGAGCAGCTTAATAAAGTAGTGATTATTTCAGTTCAATTTGATAAACTTGTTAGGATTTTTAAAACTCATTACAAAGCGAGAAGTGTCAGCTAATCTTAATACAGGCAAGTCTGGCACTCCTGTCTAGAATAATTGCATTTGCATTGAATTCCTGTCAAGCAAAAGGAAGTTATAAAAATGAATACAATTTAAAATAATGTAAGAGGAACTTTGAAAGTTTGTTTTTCATATATTTAGTGCAATGAATTCTTCATTTTGAAAGATGTTTCTGCAATATTGTGCACCACTCTTTGTTGATCTGCAAGTTTACTCTGTAAATAATTTGATGTAAACTAAGCATAGAACTAAGGCTAGCAACCAGAATGACTTAAAGGAGTTGATGCATTATTTTAATTTCTTGCTACCAATTATTTAAATCCATGTAGCTTCCATCATCATAAAGGACCAGAAAATGATGCTTTCCACAGTTTGCTGCAGTAATAAAGCACTATGTCCATCTCATTCACCAGAGATAGCTCAGGCATGCCTGGGAAGGGAGGGTGAAGAACAAAGATGCAGCTTTCCTGGTGATGTGTCTCGCTGCTAGATGGTTTGGCAGGAGGTGCGGGGTGGGGGGAAGACTGTCACAATGTGCATCCTCATTAAGGTAAAAGTAAAGCAGATATTAAGCAAAGAATCTCAGGCACAGCTTAGTCCCTCGTATTCTTTGTGAGAATATAACTATGCGTAACCTCTTACTCATTTACCAACTCACAGTCAAAGACGAACAAGGACTGCTAATCACTGAGGTTACCCCCTACAGGAAAAGGCCATGCATTTTTTCTCTCTTTTTGAATGCCTCTAAACAGGCCTTGGGCAAACCATACTCAGTGCTACCCCTAGTACGAGCGGAGACATAGGAGAGAAAACCATGGGGAATCAACTGCAAAAATAATTTCGATTTAGATTAACCTTAGACACCTCAGGCCAAATTTATTTTTCTACCTCTTAAGTGTCTAGGTAATCTGTAATATTTTGGTTGGATTTATTTTTAATTTATGAGAGGCTTTTTAACTGAAGTCAGCTGTTTAACCATTATGTGTCTGGCCTCTCTCAGCAGCTCGTGGGGAGAGACAGAAACCTTCACAGAACAGTTCATCCCACCTATCTTAGGTACAATTTAGGATCAAAGAAGTTAATTGTTCAGAAATGTATCCTTCCCTTCCCCCTCCTGCACCCTGAGGGTGTGAAGACAATTAACCTGAGCTAAAAACAGCTTAGAATCAGAACCATAGAATGGTTTGTGTTGGAGAGGACCTCCCACTAGGACCAGATTGCTCAATGCCCCATCCAGCCTGGACTTGAACACTTCAGGGAGGGGGCAGCCACTTTCCTGGGCAATCTATTCCAGAGTTTCACCAGCCCCACAGTGAATAATTTCTTCATAAAATCCAATCTAAATATCCCCTCTTCTGGTTTGAAACCATTCCCCTTTGTCCTATTACTACATGCCCTTGTAAAAAGCCCCTCCCCAGCTTTCCTGCAGGCTCCTTCAGGTACTGTAAGGCCAGTATAAGGTCTCCCCAGGGCCTTCTCTTCTCCAGACTGAACAGCCCCAACTCTCTCAGCCTGTCTCCATAGCAGAGGTGCTCCAGCCCTCTGGTCATCTTTGTGGTCCTGCTTTAGATTCACTCCAATATGCATCTGAGATACTTAAAGCTATGTGAAAAGAATCTGCCCAAAATGTTTCCCTGTGCTCTACTAACCATGAAAGTCCATTGCAAAAAACACTCAAAACATCAGTAATGATGCCCTGTCTTTCTAACAAAAATAGTGGATATTTTACCTAGGATGGGTGAAACATAAGACAACGAGACCATTTTATTCTAAATTTATATGGACTACATTGATGCTGAAATTAGGGTTGCATGTTGGGTTGCATGTACCAACATCTGACAACATAAAACATACTGGTACAGCAATGCCAGAAGCAAAAGAATGAAAGGATACTATGAAAAGGAGTAATACTGAAATCCACTCACTAATAATGTCCAAAGAAATCTCATATTAACACTTCCTATTCAGGATCACATCGCTAACTGCACTTTCTTGCTCTTATGCATCTTTTATTTGTACCTGACCTTGCACTACTGCCAGTCAAAATATATATTTTAGTTCACATAGAAGTGTGTTGTTTTTTTTTTTTTTTGGAGGGGAGAGGGAGGACAGACAGGATATTATTAGAACAAAGAAAGGCAGAAATCCAGCAAACAACGGAGCTCTTCCTTGGATGTCTCTTAAAGCATTTTTTTCTGCATTACATTTTGAATGGACCGTTTCTGGACAGAAGGGGAGAGGTGCATAACAGCAGCTGTCCCTGGCAGCAGGTATTATTCATCCTTCCCTTCTGCCAGCCAGCCAGGAGGCAGGCAAGCAAAACAAAGCCCATAAGTAACTTGAGGAAGCGATCTGTGCCACCGTCACGAGCTGTGTCAAACACAACATTAGCGATGCTGCATGCAGGGTGAGCGGGCTGAAAGCAGAGCTCCTGAATCTGCCTCACACACCCAGCACAGCCCAGCTCTGCCCTTGGCAAAACCACGGCAGTAATGCAGCTCTGAAGCAGAACTCCACCAAAATGCTAGCTTTTCAGAATGAGGCATTGAGATTCAATTATTTTTCACTTCTGCCAGTGACTAGCCATTTGTCCTAACATAAATTTACTCTGAGAAATGCTGTTGGTGTTCCACTAGCAACAATTCCAAAAGGCTTGCTGATGTCCCTCCCTCCACTCTCACTTCCCTCTCCCCAGCCATCACTCCCACCCATCAGCTCTCCTTAAGTTCAGCACATTCACTCCTTGGGAAACACCAGATGCACTGAAGGAGTCTTGACTCAGATCTTGTGAATCCAACAATTTCTCTGTCTGACAATAGAAAGTCATGAGCAACTGAGGCTCTTTACAATCAAACATCTAATTCTCCTTTCAGAGAAAGATTCTTATTTTTTCACTTTTTCATCCTCCTTCTAGCATAGAGTAAATCAGCCTTGGGAGAAATGCATGGCAGCTAATAAAATTGATTTCTGCAAGTGCTCCTGACTCATTGTTGAAGCCAAGTTCTCATACAAGAGCATCTGTGAGTAATATTTTCTACCATCTGTGATTGGATAGGTGAATTTGTCACATCCTGGCAGATCTGACCACTGTTATAAATGCCATTGCTACCAGTCTGGACAACATAGCTGGATATGAAGCTATCTGTCCTCAAATTTATTCAGAACAGAAACTGGCAGGCCATTTTCTCCTCAGCAACATTGCTGTATGAACTAATAACTTTTTTTTCTGAAAACTTGTGACCATGAAGACAAGTTCAAGATCTAAGCCCTTTCCTCTATGGACCTTGTGGTCTGATCACTTGTCTAAAGCTCTGGATGAAGTTTCTGCCTGAGATACTCTTGGGGATTTTCTAGAACTATCACAGGCTGTACTACCTGCCACCACAATTCGGCCAACAATTTGGTTATTATTTCACAGACCTTTTGTGGGACTTTTTTCCATTTGCTTTCTAAAACACATCTATTGTGCCCTGCAGGATCCTGTCCTCAACCAATTTATGGGATCACCTGGCCAGTTGGTAAAGACAACAATTAAACATTAGCTTCGCTTTTTGTAGTTAAGGCTCAGGGAAACCTTTTGTTATTTCTTATTAAAAAACAATTCTGCAAATGTAAATGACATGGACCTTAAAGCTAGGAATTCTGTTCTTCACCTAGACATGGAGTCTCACATATGAAGACTTCATCTTTTCTCCAGGTTGCAATATTAGATTTGTACTCTCTGAGGTCCACAAATAGCTTTCCAGCATGGACTGAGCGTTACCTCCTTTGCTGCCAGGAACTTCACCTCCCTGTGTCAGAATAAAATTTCTTTAAATTTAAAGGAAGATCTATTTGCTAAATCTTGGTGGGCTTTTTTGTTGT